CTCATGCATTCACCAGCTCCTGCATGCCAGCATCTGTGCTGGGTACAGAGAATAAAGGAATAGAGAGAGAGAGAGAGAGAGAGAGAGAGAGAGAGAGAGAGAGAGAAGAGCAATACTCGAGGCTTCGTCTCAAGTCAGTCTCATCCAAAACTCTTTGAGGCCTTTTATTTCCACAACCTAAAAATCACTTTCCGAGGCTGAGGGTGAAGCTCAGCCACAGAGTGTGTGCCTGGCATGCACAAGGCCAATTCCCAACACTGCAACATTGTAAAGTAAAATAAAAATCAATTGACTTTCTTTTTAAAAAAAATAAATAAATAAAACCAATTTTCAGAAGTGCATGTGCATGTTCAGAACCAGGGAGGTGAATTTCTTTAATCCATTGCACATTAGAAACAAACAAAAAATATTCAGATGAAGGAAAGGAAGAACAAGGTGCAAATATACTGAGGATCTTTTTATAGTACTGGAGTGTGAGGATGCTAATTAAGGGACCTCAGAATCAGAGAGGAGCTGAGAAAAGAGGGAGCAAGGGTTTCATTTTAGGTGTTGCTTCATCAAGTTAAAAAAAAATAGTAGTGAGTTCCTTGAGTGACTTGTAGCTATTCTCAGGAACTTCATGGGCCCCGATATGCTCCAGGTGAAGCTGTGAAGTGCAGGGCACCAACCTGATGAAAACCTCTCACTTCAGTAAAGGTCCTGCTAATAAGGAAGTGCACAAATGAGCCATCTTGGGGCGTGGGGTTAGCATTGAAGGGCATTAGTTATCATTTCACTGGTGTCCTTCAAAGAGCCATAGTCATCCGCTTTTCAAACCAGAAGTCGAGAACTTAGCTTTTGTCCAAAATGCAGTCCAAACCCAGGTCTGAAACCCAGTCATGCGTTTCCCAGCTGCCATGTGCCTGCTCTTTCCACGTGAATAATGACCCAACTATAACAAGTGTTTCTGCCCTTCCCGAGGTCCCCATTCTGCTCAGTCTGGTTACATACAAGGTCTCTCATCCCCCCCATGCCCTGGCGAGGGACATTTCGTTAATGCATAGTAATTGCACAAATTAATGGGTTTCGCTATGACATTTCCACATACACAGCTGACCACATCCCTCTTCCACTTTCAGTTTATTCCCACAATTGGAAATAAACATTGCTATTTGTGTTTCTGCATTTGCCTTGCTTCATGTAACAGGATATGCTCCCGTTCTGTCCGTTTTCCTGCAAATGACAGAATTTTATTCTTCTTTCTGGCTGAAAGCATTCCATTCTATGCCATGTTTTCTTTATCCATCCATCAGTTGAAGGCGTCTAGGTTGGTCCCACCTGCTGGCTAGTGTGTGGGGGATTCTGCAGAGGCAGCGGCTGAGAAGCTGGATGCTTAAGCACCATTACATAGCTAGTGAATAGGGCAGGTGGGTCTTGAGCTCATCTGTCTGCTTCCTAGGTCAACTTGCTCATACCGTGCCACCAAAGAGGTATAAAGTGGGCATCGAATGTGCCCAAGAGAATCCAGCCAGACCAGACAGGGACAACCACACCCAGTTCTCATTCTGGACTATGCTGGAGCCATGCCATGCCCCAAGTCCTGATGGCCAGCAGGAGTGATCCTGATTGGTTCACACTCAGAGCACTCACATCTCTTGGTTGTGGACTACATGAATCCATTAATCTAACAAAGCGACGGGTACTTCTTGTAAGTATATGTATGAGTCACAGAATTGGTGAGAAAACTGAAGGCCAGGCGGAAGGGAGACTGCTCCTGTGTCCAGTAATTGAAATGAAATGATCTTTTGTCAGAAAAATAATGGTCAAGGGTCTTTTTGTCTCTGTTCTGATGGCCCTGGCTTGGGTCGGGGAATGTCCACTGGGGCAAAGATAATTTGGGGCACTCTGAATGGTGCCCTCAGATCATGCAGAACACTGGAACTACAAACAAATCCCAGCAAGGGGACCCTCTGCACTCTGCGATTAGATCCTGCACCCCCTGCCCAGCACAGTCTTCCTACAATGAACACTTTGTATTGTGTCTCCCCCAGCTGCACTGGAAGATCCTTAAAGAAAGGAGCTAAAACTTTGATATTTCTGTTTCCAATATCACACTGTGCAAAGTAGCACTTTCCAATACAGCTCTAGCTTATCCTGAACCTAAAAGTCTCCATGTGCCACGCAATGACATTTCAGTCTGTGACAGACCATGTACACAATGGCAGTCCCATGAGATTAGATTGCCTAGTGGCATCATAGCTATCTTAGTACAGCCTAGGATGTTTGCACAACAATGAAACCGTGAAAGGATACACTTCTCAGAACTGACTCTGTCATTAAGAGACGCATGGCTGTAGATATCTCCTTTTAAAAATGAACAGACCCAGACATCTAGTACAATGAGGGGAAATGTCTGCCATCCACCACGGATGCTAGGTACCAGAATTTGACCAACAGAAAGAAAGATAGGTATACTCAGGACACAGGCATTTAATAAAAGCCAAAATTTATTCTAAGAACAGGTCTCCTATTAGAAATCCAGATCTCAGATTACACCACAGAGGCATTTTTAGAGGAACTATCCCCATGTCCCTAATACCCTGCAGAGGTGCCCCCGACCCAAAGCCCTTCTGAATGGAGAGTTTGATTTGTTTCCCACGCTTTTAACCCTTCCGCCTCACTCCGTCTCCTGTATTTCAGTGTATTTCTTTCAGTAAAATCATTCCACTCACCTAAGTGTTGTGCTCTGGATTCCACACTGAGCAAAGCAACAAACCCCTCTTTACCCCACACCTCCTGCAGCTATTCATTTTCCCGCTTCGTCTACAAGAACACTCTCTTTCTCACTTCCGTATCACTCTTTAACATGCTCCCTTTGGGCATCTACTCTCACCTCACCAATTTTTTGTTAAGGTTGACAAATGATTTCTGCATTGCCAAGTCCACTGCACACTTCCACACACATGGTACCAAACTTGCAGAAGGGCAGTGGACACAGCTGATGAAGCCCACATGTTTGAGAAACACTGTGGTCCTGCAGTCCCTAGTGGCCTCCACCTCACCAGCTGTCCTCCAGTCTGCAGAGATGATTCCTCCACCACACCTCAGAGTGTGGGGAGCTTCAGGGCTGCTTCTAAACTCATCCACTGAAGAGTATGGCACTCCATGATCCAGTCACCTACCAAACATGTGAGACTTTGGGGGGCACTGTAGAGATAAATCGTAACTGTGTAATGATTCTGTTTCCCTACAGGGGCTTCATCCTGTCCCATGACTTTATCATAATCTACATATTAATGACAATTGCTATGGCAAGTAGAAACAGCAAAACGAGCCAAGCTTGGTGGTGCATACCTATAATTGCAGCACTAGGGAGGTGAAGGCAGGAGGATCATTGTGAGTTTGAGACCAGCCTGGGCTACAAAGTGAGCTCAAGGCCAGCCTGAACTGCATAGCGAGACCCTGTCTCAAAAAGACAAAAAATAAAAAAATAAAAAAAAAAGAGAGAGAGAAACAACGATCAGAATTTGAAGACAGATTTTTTTTTTTTATGTTGATGGACACTGATTGAGATCATTCCCAAAATATCAGGTCCTGATCTCTGTTGGTGTATGGCTTATATGGGATAAGCAAGCAGAAAGTACAGAAAAAGAATGGTGTGGCATTTGGGGATCAGTTCTTACCATATGCCTCACAGTGACCAGCCATTTCTAGGAGACAAAAACAACAGGAACTGTGACAGGAACTGTTACCCTGGCAATTAAGAAACTGAAGTAAACTGGCTTGTTAGGCCGTTTTCTGATACACTCCATCCCTACTTTTTTCCCAAAACTTCAAATTTTTATCACCATCTGCTTTCAAAGGCCCATTATTAAACATCTCTCAGAAACAGTGCTCTTTGGTTAATACACACATGCACGCGCACACACACGAACTCGTTCCTCCCCAACTTCCCAATAAATATCACCTCCATCTAACCCAACATTCAAGTTAAACCTCTCCTTGGCCCCCATCTTCCATCTTCAACTCACGGGGTAAATCCATTTCCCAGTACAGCTGTGTTAGTCAATTTCCCATTACTGACCACAGTACCTGATACCTGATACCCACAACTTACAGGAGGATCATACTTTAGCCATAGTCCGTGGTCAGCTGGCTCCAAGGCATGGACAACATAGTGGAAGAACATGGCAGAGGAAAGCTGCTCAACCAGTGGCATCCAGGAAGTAGAGAGGTGGTGGAGGAGGTAGAGAGAAACACACACCCTTCTAGGTCCCACCCCCAATGGCCCTCTAACCAAGCCATACCCAGTAGTAGCTCATGAGCTACTGCACTCACCCACTGATGAGTATAGCACCACCATGGTCCAGTCACCTTCCAAACACATGAGACTTGGGGGGGCACATTTTAGATCTAGCTCATAATAACTGCCATAATCTCCAGTGTTTCTCCACCTCCCTGTCCACCCTCACCAAACATCACTCCCCTAGCCCACTGAACAGCATCCTTTTCCATTTTTCCCTGCCTTTCTTCATACTGCCTGATGTTTCTACAAAACACAAATTAGATATCTTCCCTTGACTTCTCAACAACTTTCCCACTGAACTCCCCACCATAGTCTCAGGTTCTGAAATGTCTGCCTGAGCTCAGTATTTCCCTGCTTTTTTGCATAATCCTTCTTTTTCTTTGTTGTAGTTAGGGGTCGTGCAGAGAACAATTAGAATCAGGACATGGAGTTTATAATATTATTTTTTTAATGGTCACCGGGAGTTAACTCAAGAAAATGCAGGAAATCTATCCGCAACACCAAAGACATAGAATATTTAGTCAAGGGCCTAAATCCCACAACAGTGTCCCACATGACAGAGCCCATGGCAATGCCTCCCACAAGTCCAAATGGAGGTCCAGAGCACACAAGAAGGACTCACCTCAGTCTCTTTTACGGATCTGTACTGGGAAGGCCCAAAGGTCAGTGGTTCAGGTGGCTGAATAATGATATCCACACTTTCTGTGTTTTTCAGAGCAGATGAACTATTATGGGCCAATCAATAATCCCGGATTTGAAGTTTACGAGGTAAAGTTTCTGTTTTCTGTTCCTGACTCCTTGTATTATATAGTTCAATTCTTGAAGAAGGGGATAAACAAAAAGAGAGGTGTGAGGAAGAGAAAACTGACACCGTTGCCTAAATACTCTTGGCTCTTATGCCAGAGTACGTGTATCTCATAATCCATTCCTTCTAAGGAATCCTTTCCTTCTACTCTACATCTTCTCTTGGACTCATAAGACAATAATGAAAAACTCTTTCATTTTTCAACAATCTCATACATGCACGTAGAGTTAAAAGAAAAACAGACGATGATGATGGTGATGAAATGCAATGAGATATATATCTGAGCCGACCAAACTCAATGAGTTCTCTAGCCTGCACACTGCTTTGGCAAAGTCTTCCCATTACTTCTAACGCTATAGCTACTCGATGTTTGACCTGCAGAAGTGCAGAATCCTGGAGGTGAATGGTGCCTAAGGCGGTTCTGATCTAGGGTGGCACCTGTGCCACAGCGGGCACACATAGCCTTCTGTGTCAACACGTGAGCCAAGTCATCTCCGCAGTCGAACACCAGAAAACAGTTGTTTTTTTCCTAAACTAAAACCTCAGTGTCCAGGTTTAATTGCAGTGTGGAAACTTTCAACAAATAAGTGGGCCTGGAGCTGCAGCATGGACACTCTATCTCTGAAAGGTTTGCCATCTGTGCTGCAGCCAATCCTCGCACCCAAGGCACTGTCCGGAGCACAGCCTGGCTCTGTCGGGTGCACCTTCTGGCGCTGGGGCATCAGCTCCCTTTGAGCTTCTGTCGGTAGCTAGAAAGTTGTGCTTTGCTAGCAAGAACAGCTTCTCATGCAACTCCTATCCAGCAGCCTGATTTATTCCTTCCCTCTGACTTTGGTCAGATTAAATTCCTTTCCTCCTTCAGGTGACAGGCAGTTCAAAGATATGCCAGGCATTTCATGTGCCCACTCTGCTCTGCTGGCTGTGCCACACACACCCCTGCCCCAGCCTTTTCCTGTCCAGATCAGTGAGCTCACAGATGCACAACCACCTGTGCATGGCAGGCAGCAAGGCGCAGAGAGTTTCCAACCATTCCTCACCAGGCGTGGCTGGCATGGCGTCTTCTGAGCAATTACCTGCCGACTACAAATGTAACGGAGCCCTCCTAAAGTGCCACTGCCAGGCATGAATCTGAAAGGTGGCGGCACTTTTCCTGATAGAGCATTTTGGGTCTGTGCTGCTGGATTTTGCTCCTCCAGGGATCTTCTCCATCCCAGCAAATGCCACTCCGTCACTCCCAATTGCACAGGCCAGGAGCTCTGCAGTTGACTTTACTCTATCTTTGCCCTTCCACCATGCATGTGGGTATCTTCAGCAAATCGCACAGACTCCTCTTTCAAAAATCTATCCAGGACCCAAGCCCTTCTCTCTGATTCCTTCAAGTCTTCCATCTCCAACCTGGATGCTAATCACCGCCTCCCCAAACTCTCAGCTGCATCCCCTCTCCCCACAGCTTCTTTCCAGTGTGCCCACCACAGACATCCTATTACCAGACCAGACCCTGCTCCAGGAAACTCAGGCTCCAGTCCCCTTCAGGCTGGAAATGGCAGCCCCAACAGGTGTCATGAAACCCTAAGAACTAAGCCTCCTATGGACTCCCGAGCTGCCTTCCGCTCCCTCCTCCTCTCCCTGCAGCCCAGCAGCCTCCTGATTGACATCAGGCTGGTGGCAGTGCAGTGCCCACCTATACCTCCTTCAGCTTTGTCTAAATGTCATCTTCCCAGCAGGGCCCCCTTGACCATTTTACTTAAAATTACAACCAGCACTGGTCCCGGCCATGCTGCCACCATACGCGCTTATCATGAGGATTTTGTGTCTCTCCGGACAGGACCACGGTCCCACAGGCTTGGTGTTGGATGGTGTTGCTCTACTCAACTCCAGTGGCACTCAGTAAACACAGCAGATGCCCAGTATCCATGGGGGTTTGCTCCAGGCCTCTCAAATACCCAAATCCGCTGGTGCTCATGGCACTTAGATAAAATGGTGCGGTTTGGAATCTACGCATCCTCCTGTGTACTTTATTTTTTATTAGTACATATTTTTTATTAGTAAGTAGTACAGAGTGTTTATACTTCTTGTGAGACGTTGGCACACTTTGATTCCTTTTTCATCTCCTTCCTACTCACCTCTCCATTTCTTAGCCCCCTTCCCATTTGAAAAACATCTATCTCCCTACTTCCTACTATCTCCATTTTATTTTGCTCTTTATTTATATTTTGGGTTTCTCATATAAGAGAAATCATGTGGTATTTAAGCTTGTGTGTCTGATTGATTTCACTTCACATTAGGGTCTCGAGATGCATTCATTCTCCTGCAAATGACTCAAGTTTATCTTTCTTTATGGCAGAATTGTACTTCATTGGGTGTAAATATCATGTTTCCTTTATCCACTCATCTTTGGAAAGCATATAGGCTGCTTCTGAGATTCATTTATCATGAGCTCTGTAGCTAAAATACGTGTATGCATGCATCACCATAATACAGTATCTTTAATGCTTTGAGGAAGATATCTGGGGGTGGGGATAGTCGAGTCAAAGGTAACTTATAGTTTTAGGTTTTTGAGGGCTCTCCATACTGATTTCCATAGCGGTGGTACTAGTTTACATCCCCCTGATGATCTAGAAGGTTCCTTTTCCCCCGCAGCTTCTCCAGTATTTGTTGTTATTTGATTTCTCGGTGGTGGTAAGATGGAGTTCTTTCTAGCGTACGATGGATTCTCAGTGTTGTTCTAATTTGCACTTCTCTAATGCAGTACCTCCTGTATGCTTTAAATGACACACAGTACCTTAAGTGACACACAGTGCAGGTTCGATACCAATCCCTGTTATACCACACTGATTAAGGAAAGGCAGCATGAAAGCGACTCTACCTACCAGACAGGTGCATTCCAGAGATTTTTTGATCCACAGTTGGCTGAATCTGTGGATGTGGAACCCTTAGGTATGCAGGGCTGACTATATTTGTCAAGTGGTCAACTGCCCTGTGGGTCTCACGCCTAATGCTTTACCTGTGTCCTCTGTAGGGAAAATACCAGGTTCTGGTGGAACTGTACAATGAAAAACGTGCCACCGTGGCTTGTGCCAACGCTACGATCATTTGCTCCTGACCTGGGTCTGCAGGCCGAAGTACAGCAAGCTCAGCGCCATGGCAGCGCCACTGTCCACAGATCCAACCCACTGTGGAAGGGAGCCAGTGATGACGGAGAGGCGCTCCTCACAGCAGCCCCACCAGGCGCAGCTGCGGCTTCCAACCCCAGGCCAGGGCCGCCCTGACTGCGGCTTATCCCTCCTCGGGAGCCTCAGTAGAGTCCTCCCTGTCCCAGGGAGTCACCTCATCGGGTTTCCTCTTTCTCAACTCCTCCAGAGCGTTTTCTCTTGGGCACCCAGAATAAAGACTGTGACCCACAACTGGTACCACGGCTTTTTCAAAGAGTCCCAGTGTAACGTTGTGATTAAAAGTCATTTCCTCCCGACGTGTCAGCCTCGGGCACCGCATAAGCGGGCCTGGAAACCCTGGAGGACGATGCTCCTCTGGACTCCAGGCTGGGAAGACGCAGCCTTGGACCAGGAGGCCAAGACATCGTCATCTCACTGCCAAGACCCCCACCCCACCTCATCCTCTGTGTTATTCAGTTTTATGACACTATATGAAAAAAAATTTTTTTAAAAAAACAGCTGAAATGATCAATTTATGAAGAGAAAAGGTTTGTTTGGGAAGCTCGGTCCTTGGTCAGTCCCGTTGCTGCAGGCTGGGGCGAGGCAGCTCATCATGGGGGGGATGTGTGGTGGGCAAAGTCAGAAGCAGGGACTAGAAAAGGGGCCAGGGTCCCTCAGGCCCCCACGGACCTCCCACTCGGCCCCACCTCTTACGGGTTTTATCGCTCCCCAAGAGTGTCTCCCTGGGAAGCCACCCTCCACATGGGCCTCTGGAGGACATTCAGTGTCCAAACCACAGCATCCCCAAGGCAGGACTCTACCTGGCCTCGGCTCACAACAGCACACACTCCTATATTCAGTCAGTCAGTCAAAAAATTGTGACTGAACAATGAAACACCTAGAATTGTGCTCCTAGGATACTACAGGGCACAAAACAGATACTGCCCCTGCCTTTGCAGGGCTGCAAGGCCCTGAACCACTAAGAAGCCCCACGTCTACAGTGGACACATTCATTCCCATGTAGAAACACCATCTTCAATGCCTCTATCAGCGAGCAAGCTGCCCATCATCCTGTTGTCACAGCCCTCCTCACAGAAGCTCTGTCTCTTTGTCCCTGGAGGTGGCATGGTGGGCTCTGTGCCCTCCCCTACCTGTGCCTTGGCCTCAGTCCTCTTTCCAGTGTCTCTGGCCCAAGATCTGACCTTCTCGCACCTGCAGAGGGGCTGTGGGTATGGTGGGTGGATTGACTTTATCGTCTGCTCTTTTCTGTGTCCAGAAAGATGCCATTACATTAATGACCATGAGAGGAGAAACATTCCAAAATATTAGTTGCTGGTAAGTCCTGCATGGACACAGTTAGACCTCCTGCAATGGCCGGGTACAAACCCTGCCAAGTCAGAACCAGTGTCCGAGCTTCGCTGGGTCACAGACAGACAAGATGACAACAGCGTCCCCTCCTAGGCCCACAGTGCTTGGGAGAAAAGGTTCCTCGGGAGCTCATAGGGTAACAGCGCTACGTACACGGGCAACAAGCATTCGACCCTTCCCGCTGCCTCCAGCTCGAGGCCCGTGTCCTGCTCCTTAGTGTCCGTCTGTCCTTCCCGACACACACTCGGCACTTGACTGTTCACTTCCCCCTTGCCCTTCTCACGAAATTGAGCTTGAGAGTCAGACGCTATAAATTCAGGTAAAATCAGAATTTCCATACATGACTCTGGCCTTCGGCACGGCTACAAGAATACAGCAGTACTCAGGAGTTTCATTCACTAAGGACATGGTGTGAGGGAAAAGGAAAAATACTTCCTCTGTCCCCAGAGATAGCTTTTCTTAAAGTCCTGTCATGGGCTTTTATCTTCACCATGATTCTCACTCCTGCAAACGGAGAATATTTTTCAGCGTGTAGGAGTCTCCTGTTAAAACACAATCAGCCCCGGCAGGGAAAATGGCCAGTCATTAACGGTATTTAACACCCCTGCAGAACACAGACACTAAAACCCAGCTGGGATCTGGCGGTGCAGGAGGCCGGGCCTGCAGGGGGGTCAGACCCTGTGAGCCACCTCTGGGGGAGTGGCGGTGTAGGGATGGAGAAGGCCTGTTAAGCTATCGAAGAACCCAGATTTATTTCTCTTCTAACAAACAGAAGTCGCTACTGCTTTAAAAATCACCATTAGAAACTGCAAAAATGTATACACAGCAGACTTTCAGGAAGGAAAGCCAGAAAGACCGGCATGGTGGAGAATTATACTACACCCGAGGAATAAAGAATGCTTGGGAAAATCAGATAGCTTTAGTCACCTTGGTGCCTGCCGGGTCTGCTTCATGTTTTGAGGAACAGCTCAACCTCTCTGCATAGACCCTACCCCCTGTGCCTTTGAAAGGTGTTCCAGCACCCACCAGAAGCTGTTGGTAAAGGTCCAGGCAGAATGCTAAAGAGCCCTCTGGGACAGAGTGGTAGCATCCCTTACAGTGACAGAAGTGAATTCAGACTGGCCTGAATATATGGGGACGTGGGTGCCACCGGTACCCCTAGCCCTGAGGTGACTCGGGTATCAGCCAGGGTTCACGTGCATCTCACTGCCGTCCTGCAGCAGGGGCCTCCCTGAATACCACTGCACCTCAACGGCTGCCTGCAGGAGCAAATCGTGTCGGCATGGGAGCCCTCACACCCACATGTCCTGTCCGAGATACAGAGGAAAAGACACACTTGTTCTTATTACCATTCTTAGCCCCGGTTTATGGTATATAATACTTACATTCATTGAGGTTATTAGATTCCTAAACACGACATTTCTTAACTCTGTTTCCCTTCCTCCCCTCCCCCTCCCCCTCAGTCTCCTGGACCCCTTCCTTTGCAGGAGATTTATCCCTTCGTCTTCTTCTATCTGTCCTTTATCATTCTCTTTGTTTGTGCCTTGTCTTACTCAAAGGAGAGGTGCTGCATGGTATTTAAGCTTGTGTGACTGCTTTATTTCATTCGACATTATATTTACAGATGTATCATTTCCTACAAACACCTCAAATCTATCCTTCTTTATATCTGAATGTATTTCTTTGTATGTAGACATCACATCTCCTTTATCCATTCATCTGTTGATGGGTTGGTACCAGCGGCTTAACAGGCATGCTTTATCTCAAAGCCCTGCCATTCATTTTGATTGGAATGGCTTGGTTCACATGACCACTGCTGACCAATCACTTTGGCCCTTCCCTAATTTGCTTTACCAAACTCACAGGTCCTACCCCTGCAGATGGATCAGAGTTGGCCGAAGTGGAATCACACACATCCCTAAGTGGAAACTGGGGGTTAGAAAAGGATAAACAGGCAAAAAGATGCTACAATCGGTCTGACCTTTGAAGTGTGATTTTCCCTCAGCTGCTCACTGGGTGATTAATTTATATTCTCCAAGCTTCAATTTTCTCACTTTTAAGTTCAACTCTTCTATCTCTCTTGTAGTGATGCTCTGAGAATTAATAGAGGTCACCTGTTTTGTTGGCTTTCTGTAACTATAACAACATACCTGAGCCAGCCAACTTAATAAAGGAAAATGTTTATTTTGTCTCCTTTGATTCAGAAGTCCCATCCTATGGTCATCAGTCTCTTTGCTTTGCTATGACAGAACATAGCGCAGGAGACTGCTCACCTCATGGTGACTGAGAAGCAAAAAGAGGGACAAGAAGAGACCAGAGCCCCACAATTCCCCTCAAGGGCTCCCATAACTTCTTCCCATGAGGCCTCTCCTCCTAAAGGATGCACCACTTCCCACAGTGCCTGACCGGAGACAAATCTTGTGCCAAGCAGCAGTAGAATTTGCCCCTCACCCACAAACCCGCATCTTCTCTTGGGTTCTGACCCAGTTCCTTGGCACTTTGATTCCTTCTAAGTGTAGTGCAGCTGATTTTATTAGTCCTAGGATGGAGGCGAGTTCCTTGAGTTGTAGGCTTGGACCAAGAACTCTGAAAAGCATTGAAGGTAAACATTTCCCCCTAAAACAGAAACATTTTAATCAGGACAAAAGGTCCCCTGCAAGAAAAGTGTGTGTATTTATTTAATGAAACTTGTTTCCTGCAAATAAAAACACGCTTACAAGATGTGAAGAACTCAGAGTAACATCTGCAAATTTAACGATTACATCTGCAATCAGAAAATAATAACCCAAAGCAGCTAGTGAGAGAACCAAAAAGCCACATCCTGATTCCAGCCCAGGATGATTCTTGTTAGGAACAGAGAGCGGATCGCCTCAGCAGTCAGATTTCAGACTGAATCTGCTGGCTGTTTCTCAGTCAGGAAAATGAGCACCGAGGCCGAATACCCCAATCACTTTAGCAGGATCCTATCAGAATGGAAACAATGTTTCACCTCAGTTTGTATTTCGCCTCACTGTTCCATTTCAAATGGAAGCCTGCAGTTGCTTTCAGGTACAGCTCTAACTTTCCTTCCCTCTAACCTGGCTTTCCTTTACCACGTGCTGTGGTGGGGACAAATGTCCCCCAAAGAGGCTTGTGTTAGAGGGTTGTCTCCCAAGTGCTACAAACGGGATGCAATAGAAACTGTAGAAGCTGGGAATTAACAGGTGAGACATGTGTCACTGAGGGCTGTGCCCTCCGCACTGACCGCGGGGCCCAGGCTCCTCCTTTCTCTGTTGTTTGCAGGACAAGAAGGGAAATGGTTTTGCTCCTCCTGACCTGCTCCCACTCTAATATGCTTCCCATCTTCTAGCCCATTCATGCTTCACTAGACCCTCCAAAACCATGAGCCAAACTACACCTTCTCTTTTAATAAGCTGATTATCTCAGGTGATTTATTAAAACACTTAAAAGCTGAATGACAGCAGATGTGGTGACCAAACGCACTACTCTGCTTCTGCCTCACTTTCGCCTTTCACAGGCTGCCGTGGTGCCAAATAAAACATAATCTCCACGAGCCACAGCTTTTACCAAAGACAGAACAACGGTCTCCGTAAGTTCGCTTCCTTCCTCCTATTTCTTCCTCTTCCCGCTTCACTTTTGGGAATTAAATGAAAGGAGTCTAGAGATGGGTTAATTCCCAAACCCTGCATGGTTACTCTGCATCAAGTCCAACCTGGCTGACCTCTGCAGCTCTGAGTAGGCACTCTCTCTGGTTTGGGTGGCAGATGTCATGGCAGAGTCACTTCCCAGAGAAAGGCACCTATCACTTGCCTTCTTCCCTGGCTACAATTGTTCAGGTCTGTCTAACGTTGTTTGGTTTTTGTTGTTTTTTTTTTTTTTTTCCT